GGGAGACCCAGCCGCAGGGTTTCCCAGTCAGTGAAACCCGCTCTGTCCGGGCAGGCCGGTCTCCTTTTCCGGCAACCCTCAAACCCTTGGGTTTCAGTGAGGGACAGGCCCTCCTGGGTCCGTTGTGAGGTCACAGCACATTCCACCAAGGGACAGGGGTAGGCACCCTTCGCCAGACCAGGACCTGCTCCTGGCCCCTGGCTCCTCCCATCGGTTTATTGTTGTTTTCCGGCCGCAGCGTGCCAGCCGCGGTGGCCATTGGAGGGTGAACCAACGGCAAAAGGAAGACCTTTCTCTCTGTCTCTTTCACTGTCCACTCTGCCTGTCAAAAAAAAAAAAAAAATTTATTTGAGAGGCAGAGTTACAGATGAGGAGAGAGAGACGTCTATCCATCCTCTGGTTCACTCCCGAAATGGCTGCAACGGCCGGAGCTGGGCCAATCCAAAACCAGGAGCCTCCTCTGGGTCTCCCACATGGGTGCAGGGGCCCAAGGACTTGGGGCATCTTCCACTGCTTTTCCAGGCCACAGCAGAGAGCTGGATGGGAAGTGGAGCAGCCGGGACTCTCACCAGCGCCCATACGGGATGCCGGCACTGCAGTGCCAGTATCCACATGGTGCTGGTGTGAGTCCCGGCTGCTCCACTTCCCATCCAGCTCCCTGATTCCCTACCTTTCTCAGGAATCAACCATGACAGCAAGTCTTTGGGCCCCTGCACCCATGTGGGAGACCCAGATGGAGCTCCAGGCTCCTGCTTCAGCCTGGCCCAGCCCTGGTCACTGTGGGTGCTGGGGAGTGAACCAGCAGATGGAAGGTCGATCTCTCTGTCTCTCCCTTTCTCTAACTCTGCCTCTCAAATAAATTAATAAATCTTTAAAAATTAAAATAAGGCCGGCGCCCTGGCTCACTAGGCTAATCCTCCACCTGCAGCGCCGGCACACCAGGTTCTAGTCCCGGTCGGGGCGCCGGATTCTGTCCCGGTTGCCCCTCTTCCAGGCCAGCTCTCTGCTGTGGCCAGGGAGTGCAGTGGAGGATGGCCCAAGTGCTTGGGCCCTGCACCCCATGGGAGACCAGGAGAAGCACCTGGCTCCTGGCTTCGGATCAGCGCAGTGCGCCAGCTGCGGCGGCCATTGGAGGGTGAACCAACGGCTAAAGGAAGACCTTTCTCTCTGTCTCTCTCTCTCACTGTCCACTCTGCCTGTCAAAAAATTTAAAAAAATAAAAAAAAAATTAAAATAAAAACAAAGCAAAAGTACTGCAGGTCAATCAGGAGGCGGAAAAGAATTATTTGGAAACAAATAACTGTGGTTAGTGTGGGAGCTCTCTAACTGTGGCTAGTGTGGGAGCTCTCTAACTGTGGCTAGTGTGGGAGCTCTCTAACTGTGGTTAGTGTGGGAGCTCTCTAACTGTGGCTAGTGTGGGAGCTCTCTAACTGTGGTTAGTGTGGGAGCTCTCTAACTGTGGTTAGTGTGGGAGCACTCTAACTGTGGTTAGTGTGGGAGCTCTCTAACTGTGGTTAGTGTGGGAGCTCTCTAACTGTGGTTAGTGTGGGAGCTCTCTAACTGTGGCTAGTGTGGGAGCTCTCTAACTGTGGTTAGTGTGGGAGCTCTCTAACTGTGGCTAGTGTGGGAGCTCTCTAACTGTGGTTAGTGTGGGAGCTCTCTAACTGTGGTTAGTGTGGGAGCTCTCTAACTGTGGTTAGTGTGGGAGCACTCTGTGGTTAGTGTGGGAGTACTCTAACTGTGGCTAGTGTGGGAGCTCTCTAACTGTGGTTAGTGTGGGAGCTCTCTAACTGTGGCTAGTGTGGGAGCACTCGTTACAGAGCAGCCGGTGGGGCGAGGCGTGTTTGAGATGACCTGGCGCCTCCCTCCACTCCACTGCCCCTCACGGTGTCCCCGGGCCCCTGCAGAGCCAGCCGCGGGGAGGGGCAGGCTGTGGACGCGGGCAGGAGCTCTTACTCCACAGCCTCCGCCTTCTAGCTGGTGGCCTCTTACCCATCTCACACTGCCCAGGACACTGCCACCTCCCTGTCGCTGTTCCTTCCTGAGAATGGTAGGGAATCTCTCTCCTCTACGACTCTGTCCCGGGGGCCGGCGCTGTGGTGCAGAGGGTAAAGCCGCCGCCTGCAGTGCCGGCATCCCACATGGGTGCTGGTTCAAGACCTGGCTGCTGCACTTCTGATCCAGCTCTCTGCTATGGCCTGGGAAAGCAGTGGAAGATGGCCCAGGTCCTTGGGTCCCTGCACCTGTGTGGGAGACCGGGAAGACAAGTTCCTGGCTCCTGGCTTTGCATCAGCTCAGTCTGGCTGCTGTGGCCATCTGGGGAGTAACCAGTGGATGGAAGACCTCTCTCTCTGTCTCTCCCTCTCTCCATCTGTAACTCAACCCCTCAAGTAAATAAATAATTTTTCAAAGAAAAAAAAAAGATTCTTCATGCCTTTCTCTCCAATGGCCCATACGAGCCCTTTGTTTAAAATGCACTAATGCTGGTTCCTTTCATTTGAAAGGCAGAGTGACAGAGAGAGAGAGAGAGATTCTCCATCCGTTGGCTCATTCTCCAAACGACTACAGCCAGGACGGGGCCAGGCCAAGGCCAGGAGCCGTGAACTCCAGCCAGGTCTCCTGAGTGCCAGCACCTCGGCAGGAGGCTGGGTCGGAAGTGGAGCAGCCAGGACTTGAACCTGTGCTCCCACGTGGGATGCCGGTGTTGCGAGTGGCAGCTTAACCCGTGGCGCCACCACGCCGGCCCCAGGGAAGGTTTCCTTGGGAGGAACTTGGGCGCATGGTCCGGCTGCAGAGAGGACAATGTGGCTACAGACGAGGTGCAGGGACAGGGTCCTGCCCTGGGGAGGGTCCCAGGCCACAGAGCAGAGCCTTCCCTCAGTGCCGGCGCAGGGGCTGCGGGTGCGAGAGCTGCCCGAACCTGACATCCGCCCTGGCTCCCTCGCTGCCCGGCCCCTGGCTTTGCCGCTGCTTCTGCCTACCACGCTGCCCGCAAGTCTTGTCTTCTGCCTCGGCCAGGCCTCCTGGGGGCCCCGCGCTCCGGCCGCCCAGGGCGACCCACGCGACCCACGGGGAGCCCAGCCCTGGTCTCCTGCGACTGCTGGGCCTGGCTTCCTCCCAGACGGAAACAGGGCAGCGCAGGGCGGCGCAGGCGGGGGAGGATGGGAAATGGCTGTTTTAATGAGAAGCAAAGCGGGGCTCAGAACGGCTACGAGCAGAGTGGCCTCAGGCGCTGGACGCGCACCGGCCCTCAGTCTCCTCCTGGGCGTGACCTTCTCGAAGCGCAAGTCCAGTATCCAGGCGTGCAGCGGGGACGCCTGGAAGCCTGGGGCGGCCCCCCGCAGGCTCAGCCCGCTGGGACCCGAGTCACTGGGCCCCCCTGGCACAGACCCAGGGCCTGCGGGAGCTGCAGTTGACGGCCACGAGCCTGCCCGCCTCCAGGACCCCGCAGCTGAGAGCCGGGTCGTCCTCATCTTCCTCCGGGAGCCTGGGGAGGGGGAGAGGAGAGGGGTGAGGCACGTGGATGCCGATGCCGGTCCGCTCTCCCGGGCTTGTGCCCCACAGGCCCCCGCGCTGGGCAGGGAGCCCCTCATCTGTGGAGGAGAGGCAATGCTGCTGGGGGGTACGGGTGGGGGCTGAAGCCAGGCCAGGCTTCCAGAGCGGCATAGACCGGGGGCGGGCAGGAAGGCTGAGTCTGGGGCCAGGGGAGCAGGCGGAGGTCACTCACAGCGGGGGCGGCAGGGGCACCCCGTCCATCCAGTGCCAGCCCTGGGGGCCTCGCCGGGCCCCCAGCCAGGAGTGCGTGGTGATGGGCTGTCTACTCAGGAAGTCCTGAGGGAGAAAAGCAGGCTGTCACTCTTCCCGACCGCCGACCGGGCACCTGCTACCCGCCAGGCTTCCGCAGGATCCCAGCTCGCAGATCCAGAGCAAGGCTGACACAACACCAACAGGTGCTCGCCGGGGCCAGAAAGGAGGGCGACCCCATCTCAGCCCCCAAGGGGACACGATGCCAGTCACCAGCAAGCCACACATAATGGGGGTGGACTGGGCGGGGAAACCAAGGCGTCAGAGACAGGAAGGCCTGCACCAGGCTGGAGGTCTGGTAATGTCCAGGAACGGGACAGCCCCGCCGGCAGCAGGTGCGTGCTGGGGTTGAGAAGCTGCCGGTGAACGACACAAGTGCCACCAAGGGGATCAGTTAGGGCCGGCGTTAGGGCGCAGTGGGTCAAGCCGCCGACTGCAGTGCCGACATCCCTCGTGGGCGCCTGTTTGAGTCCCAGCTGCTCCACTTCCAACCCAGCTCCCTGCTAAGGCACCTGGGAGAGCAGAGGAACATGCCCCAGTACTTGGACCACGGCGCCCACCTGGTAGAGCCGGATGAAGCTCCGGGCTCCTGGCTGTGGCCTGGCACAGCCCCAGCTGTTGTGTCCATTTGGGGAGTGAACCAGCAGATGGAAGATCTGTCTTACTCTCTTCCTCTAACTCTGCCTTTCACATGCATAAATAAATTTACAAAAAAGGAGCCTAAGTCACCTTACAGGGAGTCCATGCAGTAGTGTCAAGGCCATTGCAGGAGGAGGGGGTGGGAAGAGGGCAGGCCATTGCAGGGGTGGGGGGGGGAGGGCAAGCAGAGAGGCTGTGGAGCAACATGGAAGAGGATCCTGCCGCGTTAAACGAGGAACCACCAAGCTGTCCAAGCTGTGCACGGGGCAGGCGTCCACGGCTGGCACCCCACATGGCCGTGCCTGGGCTCACGGCCAAGCCTGGCTCCCGTGTCCTGCCTCCTGCTGGTGCGCACCCTGGGAAGCAGTAGGGAGGGGTCAGGGGCTGGGCCTCTGCCACCCATGTGGGAAACCTGGAGGAGTTCCCAGCGCCCGGCTTGGGCAGCCCAGGTCCAGTTGATAGGGCACTGGAGAGCGCAGCTGTGAATGGGCGCTCTCTATCCTTGTCTCTCTCTGCGTGACGATAGTAATAATAATAATAATAGTAATGCTTGCACATGGACATGGACGCACAACAAACAGCAAAAAGCAGAACAAGAATGTTAGAGAGCTATTATAGGTGATTTTTAAAAAATATTTGTTTTCCATACCCTGTAATTTTAATGATGAATTAAAGCAAAAAAATATGTTTTCAAAATGCATTTAAGGGGCCGGTGCTATGGCATAGCGGGTGAAGCCGCTGCCTGCCAGGCCGACATCCCACTGCTCCACTTCCCATCCAGCTCTCTGCTGTGGCCTGGGAAAGCAGCAGAAGATGGCCCAGGCCCTCGGGCCCCTGCACCCGCGTGGGAGACCCGGAAGAAGTCCTGGCTCCTGGCTTCAGCCTGGCCCAGCTCTGGCCACTGCGGCCATCTGAGGAGTGAGCCAGCAGATGGAAGACCTCTCTGTAACTCTCCCTCTCTGTAATCTGCCTTTCAAATACATAAATAAATAAATCTTTAAAAATGCATTTAAGGTTGTGTCACTTGGGAAAGTGGTTGAACATCGTGGGTCGCAGTGTAGGGATGTGGGGAGGTGGAGGTTTCAGCCCTGGAACGCGGCTCAGCGCTACCAGCAAGAGCGTGACACCTCACCACTGCTCGAGCGGGGGACTCACCGGGAGGGGCAAAGCCAGGAATAGAAAGGGGAGAAAATGAAGTCATCCCAAGAGAACAGAGGGCAGCTTACAAAGAAAGAATGCTCCGCGGCTGGCAATAGCTAGGCAAATTACGGGATGTCAACGTGATGGAAAATCACAATGCTATTAAAAATGACAAGTATGTAGAAAACACAGCTCTGCAGGAAAAAGCAAATACATAATCGTGCCAAGCACAAAGCAAAACAGAACGCCTGAGAAGTCCACATTGCTGACAGCGTCAGGGACGGAGCCAGGCTGAGGAGGACCCAAAGCAGACTGGCGTAAGAGAGTGAGCGTGTGCCAGCTTTCCCCACCTATAAAATCAGGTCCACAAGGCAGACCCTCCATAATAACCCGAGGAGCCAGAAACCCAGCACCGGGCCGGCGCTGTGGCATAGTGGGTCAGGCAGCGCCTGCAGTGCCGGCATCCCAAATGGGCGCCAGTTTGAGTCCCGGCTGCTCCGCTTCTGATCCAGCTCCCTGTTATGGCCTGGGAAAGCAGAGGAGGCTGGTCCAAGTCCGTAGGTCCCCACTCCCACGTGGGAAGCCTGGAGAAAGCCCCAGACTCCTGGCTGTCCCAGCCATTTGGGGAATAAACCATCAGATGGGAGATCTTTGTCTCTCCCTCTCTCTCTCTGTAACTTAGCCTTTCAAACAAATAAATAAATCTTAAAAAACAAAAACGTGGCAGCCCCCAGTCCGAGATCAGGCAGTCCATTAGTGTGGCATCTGGCGGCGGCTGACAAGGGTAGAATGAGCTCGCGAGGCAGAGATGAGGAGAGCCCTGCCCCGTCACTCTCCTCTGGTCTCTCCCGGTGATGCCACGGTGATCTGATCAGGGGCTGTCCCCCAGCAGCCGAATCCAACACAGCACTGCCAGAGGCCCCACTTTCGGATATGAGAACTGGATCAAGCCTCCACCCTAATCCATTAAGTGTTAACATAATACTTTGGACTTTAAAAGTCTGTGCATCTGGATCTGCGCTGTGGCATAGCGGGTAAAGTTGCCGCCTGCAGCACCGGCATCCCATATGCGTGCCAGTTGGAGTCCCGGCTGCTCCTCTTCCGATTCAGATCTCTGCTATGGCCTGGGAAAGCAGTAGAGGATGGCCCAAGTTCTTGGGCCCCTGCACCTGCGTGGGAGACCCAGAAGAAGCTCCTGACTCCTGGCTTCCGATCGGCTCAGTTCTGGCCATTGCAGCCAACTGGGGAGTGAACCAGCAGATGGAAGACCCCCCTCTCTCTGCCTCTCCATAATTCTGCCTTATTTTTTTTTTAAGATTTATTTATTTACTTGAAAGAGCTACACAGAGAGAAAAGGAGAAGCAGAGAGAGAGAGAGAGAGAGAGAGAGAGAGAGAGAGGGAGGGAGGGAGGGAGGTTGGTCTTCCCTCCGCTGGTTCACTCCCCAGTTGGCCACAACAGCTAGAGCTGTGCCAATCCAAAGCCAGGAGCCAGGAGCTTCTTCCAGGTCTCCCATGGGGGTGCAGGGGCCCAAGGACCTGGGCCATCTTCTACCGCTTTCCCAGGCCACAGCAAAGAGCTGGATTGGAAGAGGAGCAGCCGGGACTTGAACCTCGCCCATATGGGATGCCAGCACTACAGGCGGCGGCTTTACCCACTATGCCACAGTGCCGGCCCCTGTAACTCTGCCTTTCAAGTAAGTAAATAAATCTTAAAAACAACAACAAAAAGCCTGTGCACCTGGAGAGCTGGCTCCTGTTCAGACCCTAGCAGTCAGACTGCCGGTAAAATGGAGCAAGAGGTCAGAGCAGCCGGAGCACACGTGGCCCTTCCGCGGCCGCTTACTCCCTCTGCTGCTAGACTCCAGAGGCTGGGCCGGGGAGGGCTGAGGGGAACCAGGAGAGGATGAAGGGGCCCTCGGCTGCACCGCAGTGCCAGTCAGCGGCTGGGGCCGCCACGGCTGCAGATGGGAGCCGGAGCCACCTGCTGGGGAAGGGGCGCCGGGGCTGCAGGGCTCCGACTGGGCCACAGCGCAGAGGGCAGCGCTGGGGCACTCCAGTGCCGGTGCCGTGACTCGTAAGCCGCGTAACCTTAGTAAGCTCCCCAACCTTTCCGCGCTGCCGAGGGCGGACTTTCACCACGAGACCTGAGACACACACACGTTCACTCATGAAACACTCCCTAGGGGATGCCCCTTGCGATGCCAGCATCCACGTTAGAGCGCAGGTTCGACTCCGGCTGCTCTGCTTCCCACCCAGCCTCCTGCCAATGCACCTGGGAAGGCAGCAGCAGATGGCCTGAGTGCTTGGGGCCCTGCCACCCGTGTAGGAGACCAGAATGGGGTTCCTGGCTCCTGGATTTTGCTGGCCCAGACCTGGCTGTTAAAGCTATTTGGAGAGGCCGGCACCCCAGCTCATTTGGCTAATCCTCCACCTGCGGCGCCTGGCACCCCAGGGTTCTAGTCCCAGTCGGGGCGCCGGATTCTGTCCTGGTTGCTCCTCTTCCAGTCCAGCTCTCTGCTGTGGCCAGGGAGTGCAGTGGAGGATGGCCCAAGTGCTTGGGCCCTGCACCCCATGGGAGACCAGGAGGAGGCACCTGGCTCCTGGCTTCGGCCTGTAGCGACCATCTGGAGGGTGAACCAACAGAAGACCTTTCTCTCTGCCTCTCTGTCTTAACTCTGCCTGTCAAAAAAAAAGTGCCATTTGGAAAATGAATGAACGGATAGAAGATTTCCCTCCGTGTGTTTGTTCCTCTTTGTTGCTCTGCCTTCCAAATCAATAAATCAGTCAGTCTATCTATCTATCTGTCTGTCTGTCTAGCTAGCTAGCTAGCTAAGCCTCTGCCTGAAGCGCCAGCATCCCATATGGGCGCTGGTTCGAGTCCCAGCTGCTCCTCTTCTGATCCAGCTCTCTGCTGTGGCCTGGGACAGCAGTGGAAGATGGCCCAAGTCCTTGGGCCCCTGCACCCACGTGGGAGACCTTGAAGAAGCTCCTGGCTTTGGATCAGCACAGCTCTGGCCGTTGCAGCCATTTGAGGAGTGAACCAGCAGGTGGAAGACCTTTTTTTCTCTCTCTCTCTTTAACTCTGCCTCTCAAATAAATAAATAAGAACTAAAAACCATGCCCTCAGCTGTGGAATCTCCCACCCCTGATACGTGAGGGGCAAGGCCTTGTCCCTAACCCGCGACCTCACTGGAGGTTTATGGCTGCTCCAGTCCGGGGCCGCCTGGGCCCCAGCCCTTGCCGGCTGGTCTCCTGGGGGCAGGAGCCTGTCCCCACCCACTCCATTCTGTTTTTTTCCTTGCAGGTCCACTTCCGGTCCTCACTGTCAGCAAAGCGCATGGTATGAGAAAGGCCTTGCCCTGTTTTAAATTCCAGAAACTTCTGAGTGATTTACGGCTCAAAGGAACCACCTCACGATGGCCCAAGAGATACTGAGGCCCCCACGGCCTTAACTTCTGCACGGGTACGGGGAGGGGGATGTGACCCTGAACAGAGCTGCCTGAAGTCTCCTGCTGCAGACCTGAGGCTGCCGTGAGCTTGGGGGCAGGACCTCACCCCCACCCCCCCACCCCCCCACCCCCCCCTTCTGCAGCACGCCCTCCTCCCCCCTGCACCGGACTCCCGTCCCCACCCCAGCTCCCGCAGCCGCCTCCTGCTCTCTATGCACTGCTGCACGTCACACACATCTCAGGTGAAAATGGCTTGAATGACGTCATTCTTTTAACTCCATGACGTGCACGTGCTCATGGTTTAATCTGAACATGTGCCGTTAGGCTGGTGTCTTCCGCCCACACACTGTGACCCAAGGCTGCTACTAGACCAGCAGGGGGCACTTTCTCCTTCCGCTCAGCCCTTCGGGAAGTCGCGCTGTGGCTGTGGCTCCCCAGGGTGTCCCCGGCTGCCCCTCCCCACCCTGCCTTGCCCAGACCTCCCCAGCCCTGAGCCTGGATCCTGAACCCTGGCTTCGGGAGGCATTTCCTCCGACTCTCACACGTGTTCCGCTCTTCATTTCTGTTTCCAGTGACGGATCCTGTAAGCCTGGTTTAAAAAATTCCATCTGGAGCTCTTTCAGCCTCCTCCTCGGAGGACCCACTGGTGACGGAGGCAACCTGCTCGGCTGCTCCCGGGTCACCCTGGGCGGGGCATGTCCTGGTGGCACACGGGGCCGCCACATCTCCACCCGGGCCCTGACCCTCCCCACTCAGGGACACTGCCTCGGCCACAGCCTTTGTTTCCCAGCTGTGGCCATGCAGGTCACTTGGTGCAGAGCCCGAGACTGTTTCTCTGCACAGCCTAATCCTGTCTGACCTAGAGCAGCGCGGGGAGCCTGGGCCGGGGCCACGCCCTCTGACCTAGAGCAGCGAGGGACGCCTGGGCCGGGGCTACGCCCTCTGTGCTCACCCGTCCTCACGGCCACAGCCCCTCCCCCAGCACATCCCCCATCCCGACACATGCTGTCTGCAGGATGCAGGACACGGAGCTTTAAAGGAAAAGCTATAAAACCACTTACAATCTTGCTTCTCAGTGGTAACCACTATCCAAATACTTCCTTTCAGTCTGTCTTTCTTTCTTTTTTTTTTTTTTTGACAGGCAGAGTGGACAGTGAGAGAGAGACAGAGAGAAAGGTCTTCCTTTTGTCATTGGTTCACCCTCCAATGGCCGCCGCGGCTGGTGCACTGCGGCCGGCGCACAGCGCTGATCCAATGGCAGGAGCCAGGTGCTTCTCCTGGTCTCCCATGGGGTGCAGGGCCCAAGCACTTGGGCCATCCTCCACTGCACTCCCGGGCCACAGCAGAGAGCTGGTCTGGAAGAGGGGCAATCGGGACAGAATCCGGCGCCCCAACTGGGACTAGAACCCGCAACGCCAGCTATCTTTCTTTAAGATTTTGTTTATTTATTTCAAAGTCAGAATGGGAGGTGGAGGAGGGGGCAGAGAGATCTTCCATGCACCGGTTCACTCCCCAGATGACAACAGCCAGCACCCAGCCAGGCTGAAGCCACGGCTTTGTCCGGGTCTCCCACGTGGACGGCAGGGTCCCACGCACTTGGGCACTTGCCATTGCTGTCCCAGGCCATCTGCAGCGAGCTGGAGTGGAGTCAGAACAGCCAGGACTGGAACCGGTGCCTGTATGGGATGCTGGCCTTCCATACCCAGCTGAGCTATCAATCATTCAGAGGCTGGAATAAAGTTACCCTAGGGCTCAAATGTCTAAAAATGGACCTCTCATGAAATTTTCTCCTGAGGAGGGTTACAAAGATTGTGCTCTGCCGGCCGGCGCCGCGGCTCACTAGGCTAATCCTCCACCTTGCGGCGCCGGCACACCGGGTTCTAGTCCCGGTCGGGGCGCCGGATTCTGTCCCGGTTGCCCCTCTTCCAGGCCAGCTCTCTGCTGTGGCCAGGGAGTGCAGTGGAGGATGGCCCAGGTGCTTGGGCCCTGCACCCCATGGGAGACCAGGAGAAGCACCTGGCTCCTGCCATTGGATCAGCGCGGTGCGCCGGCCGCAGTGCACCAGCCGCGGCGGCCATTGGAGGGTGAACCAACGGCAAAGGAAGACCTTTCTCTCTGTCTCTCTCTCTCACTGTCCACTCTGTCAAAAAAAAAAAAAAAAAAAGATTGTGCTCTGCCAACACAGGGATGTGAACAAGAACACAGACAGGAGGGCAGGACACAGGGGCCACAGCTGTGGGGGACACAGGATGTGACGTGGAAACAGGAGGGCAGGACACAGGGGCCACAGCTGTGGGGGACACAGGATGTGACGTGGAAACAGGAGGGCAGGACACAGGGGCCACAGCTGTGGGGGACACAGGATGTGATGTGGAAACAGGAGGGCAGGACACAGGGACCACAGCTGTGGGGGACACAGGCAGACCGGGGATGTGAGTGAAGACACAAGGCGGCAGCTGTGCAGAGGCCTGGCGAGCCAGACTGCGACATAGGATGAGGACGAGGTCTCCAGGAGCCCGGCCCACACGCGCTCGTCAGTCTCTAAGAGGCTGTGCTGTCTCAAGTGACATGCCCCTGTCACAGCCACAGCCCTGTGCACCGTCCTTCTCGGGTCAGCGCAGTGACTGCGCATCTCCTGAGGAAGTGTGCCCCGCCCCCTGCCCTCCCAGCCTGGGCAAGGTGGAGCTCGGCTGTTCTGGTCATCACCTCACCCCAGTGCTGCACAGGGCAGGCGCTCCCCAACACCTGTTCGCGCCCTGGTGGGAGGTGCGCTGTAGTTGCATGCACTCCACAGCAGCCAACACACATTCTTGGCACCTGCCCTCCGTTAGGTAAAATCAATCTAAGGATTGGTAGGGAAGACTAGTGGTATAGCCCTGTGGAACACAGTATGGGGTTCCTCAAAACATTTAAACCAGAGCTACTGTATGAGTCGGCGATTTCTTTTCCGTGTCTACCCAGGAGACCTGGGAACAGACCCCCAGGATCGCCCACCGGCGCTCACAGCGTGGCTCGGCACGGCAGCCACAGCGTGGGAGCCGCGCCAGCGCTCACTGGCAGGTGGGCAGACCAGCAAAGCGAGCTGAATATGTTCAAGGGGTTACCTTTCAGAAAAGGAGGGAAATCCGATACACACTCTAACATCGGCGAGCCCTGACGACGTCACGCTAAGTGAGATAAGCTATGCGCAACAGCACAAGTACCGTGTGACCCAGCTGGGCACCCGCGTAGGCTGAGAGCAGGACAGGGTTACCAGGGGCTGGGAGATGGGCAACGGGGCTAGCGCTCTCAGACTCAGCTGTGCAAGACGCAGAGCCCAGGAGACGGGGGGCTGCGGGGCCGCGCAGCGCGGGAGAGGCACCACCACTGAACTCACGCTTCAGTGAAGATGGTAAACCTTGTGTTACATATGCTTTAACACAGAGAGAACTTCTTGGGGAAACCAGTTAAGCCAGGGCCAGATCCACGCCTCCGGCCTTTCTCAAATCCACGACTTCACCTCTGTCCAGCGTACACGCACACCGCATTCCCTCTCCTGAGAAGGCACTACGCCGAGTCCCTTAGGTGTCGGGCGTGGCCACGCTACCGTTTCGGCTCCTGACGTGAGCCGTGGCCTTAAATGAGGCTTGCAGCTTGGCTGGCTTCCTGCACTTCTGCCATTTTAAAGGATGAGAGACTCACGGAGCAAACACAAACCCAGCCTGCAGCCTCAAGCCAACCCCAGACGATCTGCATCCCAAAGCTGAGCTGTCCAGCCGAGCCCAGACCAGCCCAGCCCAGCCCAGCCCACAACAGCTGACCCCCACCCCCCAGTGGTGGGGAAATCAATGCTTGTTGTCAGTCCCTGCAGGGTTTGGGGTCTCTGTTACCTGGCATTGACACCAACCCCTGACAAGTACCCCCTCCAGTCTCCTTCCTTCTCCACACTGCCTCCCAGCCTGGGCCAGCACAGACTGGTTCCTGAGCGCCCCGCTAACCATGCAACCACCAGCTGGCTGGGAGCACCCTGCCTCACCCTCACTTCTAAGGACAAAGCCTTTGGAGACCCGACATCTGGTCCCCTGAATGGCACCCATTTCTCTGGGCCTTGGTGCTTTTTTTAAAAGATTTACTTATTTATCTGAAAGTCAGAATTACAGAGAGAGGGAGAGACAGAGACTTCCATCTGCTGGTTCCCTCCCCAGATGAATGCAGTGGCTGGGCTGGACCAAGCCAAAGCGGGAGCGTCATCAGGTCTCCCCCGTGGGTGCAGGGGACCACACACTTGGGCCACGGTCCACTGCCTTTCACAGGCCAGTAGAAAGAGCTGGATCAGAAGTGGAGCAGCCGGGATGTGAACCCTACAGGACGCCGGTGTCACAGGCGGCCGCTCTCCGCGCTACGCCACAGTGCCGGTCCCCTTGATGACCTTGGCAGTGTAGCTGTTCGCGATCCAGACTCCTTTCAGGGCCAGGATTCTCAGGTCTGGCACAGGTGCACGGCCCCCGACCGGCCGCCTTCTTACCTGGGTGTGGCGCAGCAGGGGGAGGGTGGCACGGTGGGCCGAGCAGAAAGCCTGGCTGGGCTCCCAGGCCTGGGGCTCCGCAGAGAGGTAGTAACAGTGCTCCTGCGTCCACAGCCAGCCCTGGGGGCACGGCTGGCACCTGGCTCCTGCAGGCAGAGACCACGAGTGAACCACAGGGTGAAGTGGACGGTGAAGCCATCCATGGCTGGACGAAATTACCAATGAAAAACAAGCCTGCTATAGGCTGATTGAATTTTGAGAGCTGCCTGAGGCTGCCTTGGCAGGGCCAGGCCTTGTGTGGCCCGCGGGCCGGATGTCGCCCGCGCCCAGCGTCTCCTCGAGTCTCCCCGGTGGCTATGTCTCTTGTAAATGGACACAGCCGTGGCGGTACAGCAGGGGGGGAGGGGGCGCGAGGGGACACTGTACCTGCTCTGGAGGCCAGGACCACGATGGCAACTGTGGAGAAGGCCAGAAGCACAGCCATGACAGCCAGGGCCCACTGCAAGGACTTCATGTATGTGGGCAGGCCTGGAGGGTGAGGACAGACAGGTCAGAGGGGCCACCCAGCCCCGCCCAGCACACTGCCCGCCCCGCCAACCAGGCCTGGAGGGTGAGGAGGACAGAGAGGTCAGAGGGGCCACCCAGCCCCGCCCGGCACACTGCCCGCCCCACCAACCAGGCCTGGAGGGTGAGGAGGACAGAGAGGTCAGAGGGGCCACCCAGCCCCGCTTGGCACACTGCCCGCCACCCAGAGGACAGACAGGTCAGAGGGGCCACCCAGCCCCACCCGGCACACTGTGCGCAAACCAAGGGACAGACAGGTCAGAGGGGCCACCCAGGCACTCGAGAGCTGGCAGGGGATGGGCAGAGTCTGGGCACTTGAGAGCTGGCAGGGCAGGCAAAGACACCAGGACAAAACCGCCAAGGAAGAGATGAGGCTGCACTGGGTTCAAGTCCTGACTCCGGGGGCCGTGCTCCATGCTTATCCATTTAACATCAAAACCCCTCTGACCCCTTCAGGGGTCTGCAATGTCAGGAACAGAGCGACATGAGCACACCTTGCCGGTGCCAAAGCACCCCCCACGTGAGTCATCGGCATGGCCGGGCCTGGGCTCTGGGACCACAAGGATCAGGGGGCGGGCACAGGGCTGCAGAAGGCCACGCGGCACATGGGAGGGCGTGCCAGCCGGACACGTGGCCCCGGCAAAGGCTGGGAGAGAGCACATTTAAATCCCACTCTGCCCTGCGGATGGGGCAACCGGGGAAGCCAGAGGGGGGAACCGGGGAATAAAAGAAGGCAGGCGTAATTTCAAACGCTTAACCGCGGCCACGGACAGTTAGAAACACCTGTGAACCTGGAAACTCACACTCCCCTGGTGGAGCAGCAGTCTTGAACTTGACCTCTCCAAGACACAGCAGCACGGGGTCAACTACAGCGGGAAGAGAACTTCCCTCTTCCGGACCCTGCCCCTGGGGGACCAGCACTCCCCCAGATGTTGGCGACCGTGTCTTGGTGCGAGGTTCTAAGAAGACAATCCTCAGATTGCCAGAGTCCAGAGAGACACAGACGCTGTGTTTAATACGCAACAGCTTATTCTTCTGAAAAGACTAATTCCATAAAGACACCTGTGCACTAGTATACACCACACGGAAATGCACGTATGGATGCGACGGATCAGTATCCTCCAATTCAAGGCCATCATGAGCCCAGCCTGTGGGAAGGGCAGCTGACCTGGGCAATGAACTCCATTCAAGGGCAGTGCCTCACCAAGGGTAAACCGGACACAGCAGGGAGGAAGGGTGTGCTGTGACGTCAGAGAGCTGTCACGGCTGCTTGCCCAGCGCGCGGTCTCCTGCTGCCTGCAGCCCAACATGCCATTCCTCCAGCAGCCTTCCCCAACCAGGCCGCCTGGCACTCCGGGCCTCCTCGCAGCCAGGAAAGATCACTTGGAATTGTGTCTGGCTAAAGGCAGGACTGCATCCCACAGCAGCCTGCGAATACCCACTGGGCTCCCTTCCCTGATGGGCGCTGCAGGCTTGGAGAGCCAGGGCTGGGAGTCCCCCCGGAAGGACCCGCCACCTGGAACTGGACGGCAGAGGCCGGGATGGGCCCCTGGGGGAGAAACCGGGGCTCTGACCACGCCTGGACACTCGCTGCTGGTGCCAAGTCTCCTGTGAAGCAGCTGGCGCCCCCTGCTGGCCCCACTCCTGAAGTACGGACAGCAGGTGAGCCTGGGGGCATGGCCTTCTGGGTGGTCTCCTCCTGGGGCCTGGGGCTCCGTGCTCACCTGCAGTTTTGATCTGGGCCTTCTCTCTGTAAAGTTTTCTATTGCATTTCTTTGGAGTAGCGGGAAAATTATAATTTTTTAATGTAGGAGAGCGCAGGGTTGTTCCAGTTGAATAAGCTGGAGGCAGTGTAAAAGACCACCACGGGGACACCTACGTAACAGTGACTGGTACACGGCACGAGGTGGGGCCCCTGAAGCCATCCTGCTAGATGAAAGAAGCCACACTCAGAGGCAGAACTAAAGAGCGCGGCCAAGAAAAGGAGCGAATTCCCCCACTCGCAGAGGCGATGCAGCGGGGGCTCCGACCTCCAGAAAGCAAAGCAGGGAAGGTACTAGCGGGCGACAAACTCCCATAGCAACCAGGGGAGCCCAGCTGATGAGTCACAGCCCTGGGCAGGCCCCCTCGCCTCCCAATCACTCGCCAAGGAGGAAGCCCTCCCCAAGCCCCACATAGCAACTCTTAGTTAGACAAAATACAAGTACTCTCCTTGCCAAGTGGCTGTATCGGAAAATACAGATGAAGCTGAAGTCCCCAGTAACCGAACCCAGACTCGTGTGTGCGTGTGTGTGTGTGTGCTTTAAGTTTATCTTATTTATTGGAAAGGCCAAGTCACAGAGACACAGAGAGGGAGGGAGTGAGGGGGAGAGGAGAGAGCAGAGAGGTCTTCCACCTCCTGGTTCACTGTCAAAATGGCTGCAACAGCCAGAGCTGGGCCAGGCTGAAGCCAGGAGCCTAGAACTCCATCTGGGTCTCCCACGTGGATGCAGGGGCCCAGGGACTTGGGCCATCTTCCACTGCTTTCCCAGGCACATTAGCAGGAAGCTGGATCGGAAGTGGAGCAGCCGGGGCTCGAACCAGCGCTCATACAAGATTCCAGTGTCACAGGCAGCGGCCCAACCCGTTGCGCCACAGTGCCAGTCTCAAAGACCTTGTCTTTAAATCTAGTTCTCTCAGTGCCTTCCAACCCACCCACCCCTAAGGGACCTCAGCCCACACCCTGACACACACACACACACACACACACAGTGCTGACGCCAGCGTGCTGCACACGCCGCGTCTCCAGCACCTTTCCTCGGGCCACTCCAGTGATCGCTCCATTTCCTTCCAACTCAGACCTGCAGCCACGCTCACACCTTCTGCCACCTCCTCCTGGCCAAGCCCCGTGGTGGGCGGGGCCCCAGGCTCTGTGCAACGTCAAGTTTGGCTGTTTTTCAAAGACTGCACACACTGTCAAACACGAAGGGGTTCTGAGAGGGCTCATGCATCAGCTTCCAGGAAGCCCGCCGGGGTCTTGGAGAGCTCCTGGCCCCCGGCCACCTTCTCTCAGCATCCCTCCCCCCCCCCCCGGAGCTTTTGTCCCCTTCCCTGGCACGGGGCACAGAAACTCAGCATCAGCCTGGGACATGCTGCGCTTCAGAATTAAAACAAGGTTAGAATTTGAAAACTAAAGAAAACACAAACGTGTAGTGTGGAAAAAAAACTACACCGGGGTTTTGAAACCGTTGGCACCGGAGTAAACTCGGACTGACTCTGTAACTTGTCCAATGGGGGCCACCTGGGGGTGCTGGGGCGCCCGAGGCATCAGCAGGTGCCGTGAATCTGCAGCAAGCAGAGCAGGCGTGGGCACCGGCTTTCCCATGATGCTCAGGTGGAGGTGGCGCATCCCAAGCAGAGCAGAGCTCCCAGGAGCCCTCACGGCGATGATTCTGGGGGGTTTCGGCTGTTGACCGTGCAGAGGGCCGGAGACCAGCAACATCTGCTTACTCCGAGAGCGTCTGAGAAAATCAGCAATGTTTCCCCCCACGCCTCCGGCACACCCACACCCCACGGCCAATGTATATACCCGGGGCCTCCTGCACACCCACACCCCACGGCCAACGCTATACCCAGAGCCTCCTGCACACCCACACCCCACGGCCAACGCTATACCCAGAGCCTCCTGCACACCCAACCCCACGGCCAACGCTACACCCAGGGCCTCCTGCACACCCAACCCCACGGCCAATGTATATACCCCAGGGCCTCCTGCACACCCACACCCCACGGCCAATGTATACCCCAGGGCCTCCTGCACACCCACACCCCACGGCCAATGTATACCCCAGGGCCTCCGCACACACACACCCCACGGCCAATGTATACCCCAGGGCCTCCTGCACACTCACACCCCACGGCCAATGTATACCCCAGGGCCTCCGCACACACACACCCCACGGCCAACGCTACACCCAGGGCCTCCTGCACACCCAACTCCATGGCCAACACTACACCCAGGGCCTCCTGCACACCCACACCCCACGGCCAACGCTACACCCAGGGCCTCCTGCACACCCAACCCCACAGACATGCCCTAAGCCCCCAATGGCTTCTCTTCAAGTAGTTTCTTTTTTTTCTTTTATGATTTCACGTCTCTTCTCATTAATTTTGTTTGTTTGAGAGGCAGTTACAGACAGAGAGAGGGAGAGACAGAAGTTCTTCCACTGGGGGCCGGCGTGTGGCACAGTGGGTTAATCCTCCGCCTGCGGCACCGGCATCCCATATGGGCGCCGGTTCCAGCCCAGCTCTCTGCTGTGGCCCGGGGAGACAGTGGAGGATGGCCCAAGTCCTTGGGCCCTGCACCCACATGGGAGACCAGGAGGAAGCACCTGGCTCCTGGCCTTGGATCGGTGCAGCTCCAGCCGTTGTGGCCAATTGGAGAGTGAACCAACGGAAGGAAGACCTTTCTCTCTGTCTTTCTCTCTCTCACTGTCTGTAAGTCTACCTGTCAAATAAATGAAAATCTTAAAAGAAAAGAAAGTTCTCCCATTTGCTGGTTCACTCCCAAATGGCTTTCCCAGGCCGCAACAGAGAGCTGGATCAGAAGAGGGGCAGCCGGGACTCGACCTGGCACCCACATGGGATGCCGGCACTGCAGGCAAAGGCTTCCCTCTCTGCGCCGCAGCGCCAGCCCCACCTCAAGCAGTTCTTAGACAAGAATGACTCAGGAGCTTGTACCACCCTGGGGGGCTTAGGGCATGTCTAGGGGCCATCCCGCCTCTCAATCCTGGAGCTTTTGGCCGTCTGCCTGCTGGGCAGGTCTCTACAGGCCTCTACACAGGCCTTGGGCCCTGCCTCCCTCAACTGGAAGGGGCCCCTACCACCCACAACTCCAACCCGAGGCCGCACTGGCAGGTTTTCCTGGGCCCCACGCCCACTAGCAATGGCAGGGAATGCGCTGTTAGCTTTCTGCTCAGGGACACTGTTTATACCCCCCCCTTCCCCCCAGCCAGTGCAGAGTCCCCTCCGACAGGATCTGCAGGGTGCAGCGGGGTCCTCCTGCTCAGAGCAGTGCAGAGAACCGGCCTGGGCCCTGGCAGAGTCGACCCAGGGCGGCGGGGGCCTCGCTCCCGCCCCAGCCACCGCCGCCACGTGACCCTGAGTCACCCCCCCCCCCCTTCCTGGAGTCCTCCCCCGCCCGTTTCTCTGAGGCGCCCTGGCGGAGAGGCCAGCAGGGTCGCCCAGGGTCTCCACGGCGCAGCGGCCCCGCCGCAGGACGGCCAGCCCGCGGGCCGCTGGGCACCTACCGATGAGCGCGATCGCCCGGGGGAGTCTCCTGCCGTCCGTCCCGGCGCCGAGCAGCCGCACCGCGTCCTCCGCCGGCCCCGGCCCGGGCTCCGCGCAGCGGCCCGTGGGGGAGCCCGGCGAGCCCGCGCGCCCGGCGGCGGGGCTGGCCCGGCCCTCGGCGTCGCAGCCCGGCT